GGGGGGGGGGGGGGGGTAGCTTATATGCCCCTCATTATACGCCCCTGCCGGTTGACCCCTGCAGGGACTAAAACTCAGACCCAAGGCCGGTAAATTTGGTCTAATTTTAAATTGGTCTTGAAGAGACAAAATAAAGGACTGATCGATTATAAAAAGCCGGAGACAGCTTTCAATAAAAATCGGAGGAAACACGGCCCAACATTTTTCTTTAGTTCAGCGCATTGTTATTTAGATATTTGAAGATTCTTCAAGGTTTTAGGTTTCAAAAACGATCCTAATAATATTCCCCCGCTAAGCTCTGACAATAATAATCTACACAATTTAAAATATTTCTTGCTTGATTGACCGTTTTAAACTGACAATAAAATTGCTTTATACAAAAAGTTGATCACTAAAAACCTCATCTAAGAGGTTTTTCTGCAGAAATACTTAAGATTAAATCAAAATGGCTTTATAAAAATCAGTTTGTTGTAAACGCCTTTCTTAAATATTATTTGCAATCCTATTTTTATACGTGACCCAATTTGTTATTCTCTTTCATTTGGGTTTTTAATTAAATTTTAAGTCCCCCTGAAGTTTCTGATTCTCCATAACCTTAGTCCAACAATTATCAAAAATACCATTGAGGGAAATCTTCAGTTAACTTTATGACACAAAGTTTATCTAAACTATAGCTCTGAGAGGGTTTAAAGGACAAGTAATTTCTATCTTGTCTTGATATGAATTTAGGATAATATCAACTTTATAATATTTATATTTCATTGTCTATTTGTTCATTTGTTCGTTTGTATCCTATAAACGTCAAAAGGGCTAAACCGACCAGGCCTAAAATTCAGGTTATATATTTTACAGAACTGTTAAATTTTTTAATTTTTAGAAATCCACTTGAGCAAAAAAATCAGGAAGTATGGTAAGATACGCTAGATTTATCAAAATATATTGTATTGTGTTTAATAAAGCAACCCTAAGGGTTTTAGCCCTATTAATTCGTTAATTAACGGTATTCTTGTATTAAATTCACGGTTTTTCTGCTTTGCATTTAATGGGCTTTTTCCTGTACGTTGTTATTTCTACTAATTTATATGAGGAAAAAAAATCGTTAAAGATAAAGATACAATGCACAGATAAAAATATGACAAGAAAGAGTTGGAAAGCCTGGTTGTTTAGATTCTAAAACTAAAAATATGACAAGAGTTGGAAAGCCTGGTTGTTTAGATTCTAAAAACTAAAAAAAGAAGAGTTGATATAAAATCCCTCCTCATGCATAAGCTTGATATAAAAGAATAAATCAAACAACTAAATCCTTTTCTCTTCTCTGAGACTAGTCTTAACTCGGAGATATACGGGGGGGGGTTCCCCCTTTTTAAGATGGAATTGAAAAACTTTCAGATCGGAATACGAGTGCAGTGTGCAAAGAAAATTATTTGTTTATCTTTCTCATATTGGAAATTTTTAGCTAGCGGTGTGCAGTGCTAAAAACTTTCAAAAATTGGAAGACATAACATTAATTTTGTGAAAGGGGGGCTAGGAATGTAAAAGGTNTCTATGTGAACTACTGCTTTGAAGTTCTGGTCTAAGTTTAAGTATGGAAACCAAGGTTTAGTTGGATAAATTATAGTAGACGTTCTATAATTTGTTACATTTAAAACTTTTAGCTTTACCGATTTTTGAAAAGTAAAAATATATTAACAAAAAACGAATAAAATTAAACAATTCAGCAGAAAATGAATAAAGTAAGCTGCTAAAAACGTGTGGCTCCAGAAATACATCGTTTATGCAATAAATGAAGGGCGAAAGAAAGTAAAAAATAAACGAAAGGATGACTAAATGAATATCATACCTCCTCCTGTGTGGTAGCTGGGGGGGATATCCCAAACTCGTTGTACGCTATAACCCTGAATGAATATGATGTTTCTGGAACAAGATTCTGGAAAGGAACAGTGTACTCTTGTATACCACCTCCATCTGTTCGCCTGTACAACTTCCACTTATCCTCGTCTAAATATGTTTAACAATATCAACACGTGTATATGTACAGGAAACATTGTACACAAAGGAACTGATAACTCTCCCCATACTCTTGTTTTCTCTTCCTATAGATCAACATCAGGTTACAAAACCTGATGTTGAAGACTTTTAATATTTTTAATTGTGATCAAATAGTCAAAGTTTGAAATATCAAATTGCATATATTTGAAGATAAGAAAATAAGAGTTTCAGAAAAGAGTTTATTCTCGTGTGTACATAGTACATTGTACAGTGTACATTTACAGTGTAAAATAGAGAACACTTCTATTAGTCCTAACTAAAATCTAAGATAAAAATTAAGTAATTAAAAAACTATAAACCAGCAATTTTTCGGAAAATTAAACACAATAAAAAAAATGCAAATATGTACATTTTATACAATTAACAATGAGTTAAGAACTAATGAAAGGGATATACAGTTGGTTTACATTTTAAAAAACCTTCAGAACTGGTTATAATTGTAAACAATAACAAAGACTGCAGACAAAGCCTGAAATTTATTTAACAGTAACATGGAACCTTTGTTATTGTCTACAATAAAACTAGTTTTTCAGCTATCCTAATACGTCACAGTAAAATGTAAACAAACCCTCTCCTTGCTTCTACGCTCATTGACTAACACACTATGTGATATTTCCGTGTTTGCGGATAATAATGTTTAGTATAAAGAATAAGCATGCTGTGTTGGAACCATTAAATGGATACAGATCTATTCAAGAATGATACACCAGGAACCATTAAACGGATACAAATCTATCCAAGGATGATACACCAGGAACTATTAAACGGATACAGATCTATTTAAGAATGATTCACCAGGAACCATTAAACGGATACAGACCTATCCAAGGATGATTCACCAGGAACCATTAAATGGATACAGATCTATCCAAGGATGATACACCAGGAACCATTAAACGGATACAGACCTATCCAAGGATGATTCACCAGGAACCATTAAACGGATACAGATCTTTACAAGGATGATACACCAGGAACCATTATAAACGGATACAAATCTATCCAAGAATGATACACCAGGAACCATTATAAACGGATACAAATCTATCCAAGAATGATACACCAGGAACCATTAAACGGATACAGATCCAGCCAAGAATGATACACCAGGAACCATTAAACGGATACAGATCTTTCCAAGGATGATACACCAGGAACCATTAAACGGATAAATATCTTTCCAAGGATGATACACCAGGAACCATTAAACGGATACAGATCCAGCCAAGGATGATACACAAAAAAACCAATATCAAGTGTACATAAGAGTTTAGCAGTTTTAGGGAGGAATGTTAATAAACTAGTTTATATTCATTCTTCCTGTAACAGCAGTACATTCATTTTGTAAACAAAGAGTTCCTGGTCTATCTTCCTTGGATTTGGGTAAAGGCAAGGGCTGCCAATCAAAAACAGTCTAGTCTTTATTCTTTAGTATATCACATTAAGGGGGAAGGGGGGGGGGTTCACTTATTTAATCAAACCAGAAATAAAATGTAAAAAAGTATCATTCTATTCGCAAAAATATGAATATTTCACATAATGACGATGTAAGTTATATATCATATAAAAAAACTTCGATTTAGAAGTGAGTTCTATTATGGACCCCCTGTACTGTATATTAGAGGGTTTATATTAAGGACCTCTGTACAGTGTTAATAACATAATTACTACATATATACAGCTAAGTAAACTATATGAGTGTATATTAGATGGTATATATTAAGAACCATTTTTACAATGTTTCTAACAGTGTAACTACATAAAGCTAGTATAACAAGTATATTAGAGGGTTTATATCGAGAAAAAGTTTCCATACAATGATTGCCAATGTTCCTAAGAGTTCATTTCCTTGCTATAAAAAGGAGTCAATAAAACAAATATAAAGAAATTTAGATAGTCAAGTTCGTTCGTGAATTTGACCTAATTAAAAAAACATTTAAAATCTTTAACAGTAAATTAAAGAAAAATCAAATAAGGGAAACAAGGGGGGCGATTTAAACCTTTAAACTATTTTGTACCAGGATAACAGAACTTAAATCTGAATTTTGATGGGAATTTAATGAACAAAAATAATTACATTGAAGGTCAAATTTATGCGACCTAGCGGGTACGACTTTGTGACCTCATAGCTCCTACTGTTTTAATTTTACGCGCAAATTGAAAAAACATCATCTGGTTACATATAAAAAATTCACTGCATGTCAGTTTTTTTGTTCATCTTAATATAGCTCTAAATTCAGAGGAATTACTATTAAAAAACATAAGATTTCAATCTAACGTGCAATTTAACTCATTTTGACATGCAATAAATGTTTATGATTTCAAACTTTTAAAAACACAGCAAAAAAGCGAGGTTAGAATAAGCGAGAGTATAAAAATGAGTCGCAAAAAATTTAGCAAAAGAAGGGGAAACATTGATAAAGTTTTTCCGACTGAGAAAGTTACGAAAATGCAACTTAGTAACTATGTATAACAAAAAAATACGATTGGAGTGCATCGGAGCCATATTTTGCAATTTTTTTCTAAATTGTATCCAATGATATAATTTACTCTAAAATACTCCAATCTAGAACTGACTACGAAAAAAACTTCTTCCACACAAAGAAAAAGTGTTGAACACAAACTTCTAGATAAACTTACAAATCTGCCAATTCTCCAGAGCTACAGGGGCGGAGCAGCAAGAAAAAGAAAATCGTCCTTTAATTAGAGTATAAATTCTTTTATTCAATTTACACTTCATTTCCCACAAAATATTTCATCAGTCGCAAAATATTATTTGAAATAAAGTTAGTGTTGAATGGTATTGAGACCTAAGTGAAGATCAGATTGTTTACTATTTTACTATATTTTTATCAAAAACTTGCATTTGATAACCAATTTTTATTAAAATTCAAATCACTGGAATATGAAATGCATACCTTTCTGTCTTGTTTCTATGTAGTATCCCAGAATAGGTCCTTTCCCGGATTTTCCGTTTGACCAGCTGAGGCGAACAGCTGACCATGTTTTGGTCAGCTGTAGATCAGTGATCCTACTGGGGGAGCCAGGCTGGGGGCCGGTCGTCACATTTCCGGTCGCAGCAGGGCCGTAGTCGATGGTCTGGGCCCGTACGGAAAAGGTGTAGGTGACCCTTTCCTCCAGGTTCTGAATGTAGAGGTAGTTCTCTTGAACCCTCTGCTTTACTTGCTTAGAGAAATCTAAAAAAAAAACTTTCATTTTTTTATGAAAACCATGCTTTGATAACGGGTTACCATTAAAGATCGAGGCTGTAAGATTCATTTAAAGTGTTCCTCCATTAAAAGATGGCAATCTCCGATTTACAAACATGGGTACATTCGAAACCTTAACCTAATCAAAAATGTTGAAGATGACGTAATTTTTTCTGACTCGAAAAGTATTAAATTCTGAGAATTTCTTCATTGTTTCATACAAGAAAGACATGCGCTAGTCACTTTCGTAGTGAAATCACAAATTCAGCTTAAAAAAATAAGAATATCTAATTCGTACTTGATCAGAAAAAGCTTTTAAAATTTAAACGTTGTAAATCTAGCATTGTATTTTTGCATTATACCTCCATAACGACCTGAAAATCTAAGACATTTTTGAAAATTCTGCTAAAAAAGGTTACAAAAAATAATAAAAAAATGCTATATCTCGCGTTTTGAAGATTTTATGTTGGTCATCATATGAGGAAAATAATAACTTTAAACTAGGATTTATATTCTTGAATTGAAACATTTATTTGTCGAGGAGTAAGAACTCCAAGAGAGGAAACACTGGGGTAATATAAGTTTGAGAATAGAATTGTTTTATTAGGTTAATCTTTGAATGTCGAGGGGGTAGTCTGCATAGAGAACGGTTTAGGAGAACTTTATCAAGAATTATTGAACATGATAAAACTCTGCAGTGCAGTGTGCTCCAGTATTAAATTCTAGATCGGATGTTTCAAGTTGCGAAGGCTAATGGCCAAAACGATAATTAGTCGGCACTTCCACCATCTCCAATTAAATCAACAAAGTTTCTAATTTGTTCAACTTTTTCTATTTCTCTTAGGATTGGGGGAGGATGCGATATTCGGAATATGTATAAATATATTTGGCTTGTCTGCTGTTTTCTTTGTATCCATAAAACGTCGAAACGACTGAACCAATCAGGCTCCAATTCTTTGTGGTAACTCACACGACCCCAAGAAAGGTTTATGTTCAGGCAGCATTAAAAAATATAAATTCGTTGTTCTAAAAATGTTTAAAACTCAAACATATAAACAGAAATTTTCTATACTTTTAATTTCAAAACTTACAAAAGGCTTCAGAATGCAACAAATATCTAAGATGTAAGATTGCAATAACGTTTATTTTAAGAGGCCTATAGTAAAAATGACATCTGAAATTCTATTATTGAATCAATTGGACAGCAAATATTTTAACTTTTTTATAGCAGAGGAGAACAAAATGTACGTCATTATCATAAAATAAGGAGTATCAGTTATTGATATTTTTGTAATATAAACAACATTTTTGAATTCTTAAATTTGAATTAATATAAAAAATTATTGGAATTAAAACTTACTTTCGTTCTGTGTAGTGGTTTCATATGAGACGACATAGCCCAGGATTTCTCCGTTAGGTTTCATTGGTTTACTCCAGGACACCTTCAACGTGTTCATTGTTATCTCGGAGAAGGTTAGGTTAGCAGGGGCTCCAGGCACACCCTGGAGAGTTCGAATATTAACATTTTCCGTCTTTGGCCCTTCTCCAGCAGGGTTAAAGGCTAGGATGGAGATTGTATAGTTTGTATACATCTCCAGGAATATAAGAGAGTGTGAGGTGTGGGTAGCGGAGACAACTTCAACTTCATCCTGTCTCCCCGCCAGCTGAATTGAATTATAGAATATCTTGTATCCAAGCAAATCTCCATTCTGTTGATCCGTCTTTGGAGGTTTCCAACTTATTCTAACTTCTGAAGGAGAGATTGCTTCAGCTTTCAAGGATTGAGGAGATCCCGTGGGAACAGCTTCTCCGACATAGACGGAGACTGGTCGGGCCGCGTTACCATAACCCTGGGAATTGAATGGAATCACGGTGATTTCATAGGTTTTGTCTTTAATCAAATTTTCCAGAACAACTTTGCTGATTGAGACTCCCTTGAGCTCTACTTGAGGGGAGGAGGAGAGGGGGGAGGGGAAATCAGTAACCTCCCTGTATTCAACAATATATCCTCCGGTTTCCACATCTCCGTTAAAATCTGATATGGACAGGGGGTCCCAGGTCACTCTTACATCAGTGCGTGTGATAGGGGTTACTTTAAGGTTTTCGATCATAGAAGAGGGAGCAGATGGCAGTGTTTTAGTTGAATTGGACTCAGGAGACCAACCACTAGGACCTATATCATTAATTGCTTGTATCCTAAATCTATAATCAGAGTAAGGTTTAAGGTTGTAAACAGTGTAAAATGTAACACTTGGATCCACCCGCTCGTTCACATTCTGCCAAGGACCTGTGTTCTCAGAGAACTGTACACTGTAGTATCTCAGAGGTGCAAACCCATCTGATCCAGGGTTCCAATTAAAAGTGATTTGCCGATCCTGAACCTGACTTGGAGAAATCTGTGGAGCAGAGGGGGGTTGCGGTGCCTCCCTGTTATTTGTGGTGTAAACCACTCCCTTGGAGACATATCCCCATCCTAAAGCTGTCTTTGCAGCTACAGAGAACTCATAGTACACCATAGGAACTAAACCAACTGCACGAAAGGTCCTGTCAGTTGGAAGGAATTCACGAGTAAAGTTCTCAGTTGAGTTTAGTAAGTGGTAGTTAACACGGTAGGCCTTTATTTCACCATTAGGTTCCAGAGGAACATCCCATATTATCCGAGCTGTGGTGTAAGAAACATCAGGGAATGAGATATTAGACGGGGGCCCCGGCACATCTTCAAAGGTCGTGACTTGTATCGGTGGGGTACTAAGTGCACCATCTCCTATTCTTGTATATGCCAACACTTGAATGGAATACCGAGTAAATTTCTTGAGTTCTGTCAGAGTTGTTTGTTTAGTGACGTTGCTCTTTATATTCTGGTATTGAAAAGGTACATCCTTAGCTCCGTAATACACCTTGTATCCCTCAATGATACCATTTCTGTCTATCTTCTCAACATCTCCCCAGGAGACTAGGATTGTTGTAGATGATGTTGTTGTTGCATTCACCACCTTAGGACCTGAACCTGGGGTTGCTTCATTAGTTTTCTCCACAACAACAGTGCTAGGATCTGAGGTTCCAACATCATTGTAGGATTGAAGAAGAACTTCATAAAGAGTAAACTCCTCCAAGCCATCCAGTACAAAGGAGTTGGCTGTGGGATCTTCAATAGAGAGGGTGTGTAGCATAGAAGAGTCGCCAAGTATTCTATAGGATATATTGTAACCCCGGGGTACCCCATACCAATCCTGCTGGGAGAGGGGGGTCCAACGCACATTTAATTTTGTGAATTCATGAGCTCTGATTGTCACATTTTTAGGGGCGTGCTTGGGTCTAGCTTGTATGGTTTGAAACTTCTTTGTTGGCTCTGATGGGATGGAACGCCCAACCACATTATTAGCTACTAATCTCAGCCTGTATTCCATGTATGGAACAAGGTTTTTAACTGTGACAGTAGAAGCATCAGGTTCGGATACTTCAAAGATAGTGGACCAAGTGGCATTTCTAGCACTTGATGCTTCAACAATCCACTTAGAGATTGAAGAATTACCGTCAAATCCTGGAGTAAACTGGACTACTGCTGAGAATGCATCAATATTTGAAACTGCAAGACGGGTTGGGGGCTCAGGGAGCACAGGTTCTACACCAGATTGTATGGTGGCTGAACTTGTCTCTCCTTTTCCAATCTCAGTCCAAGCAAAAACATCAAATGAATAGTGGGTTGTAGGTTTCAACTGATTAAGATAAAAGCTGGTTTCCAAAGTAGTTAAATTCTTCTCCATGAGTGTGTGAATCATATCTTTAACCATATATCTAACGGTATATCCTAGAATAATTCCTTTAGGTTGCTCAGGTTCCTCCCACATCACTCTGACACCTCTATCTGTGATCTCCTCAAAGCGCAGAGCTTTGACAGGTCCTGGGTAGTCCTGATGGGTTCTGACCAACTCTCCTGCTGACCTGGCACCATCTCCTGGACTAGTGAAACATAAGACAGTAATATTATAGGCCGTCCAGGGGTCAAGATTCTCAATCACTGCTGTCTGTTCGCTCAGTGGACTTAGTAAATTAGGATGAACGGTTACAGTACGCTGAGGTTTAGATATAGTTTTTGGATCCCCCCTCCAGGCCTGTAACTTGTACCCCTGATTGATCCCATTTATCTTCTGTGGATCTGGGGGCTGCCACCAAACCTTGACTGTACTTGAACCTGTGGCTTCAGCTCTAACATTAGTAGGCGGGGCACTAGGTACTCCTTCTCTTGTTTTCATCTTGATAGGATCAGTGTAGGCTCCCGTTCCCTTTCTATTATAGGCAGCTATCTGCACCTCGTAATCTTTCCAGGTTATGAGTTCAGTAATGAGATAGTTTCTTTGTGTCGGCTGAGAAATGTTTCTAAAGGACCAGGGAGAGTCATGATATCCAAACAACCTGTATCTCACCATGTAACCAATAATATCTCCATTCTGCGCCTCCTCTGGAGGTGGTTGCCACTGGATCATTATTTCAGACTCCGACCTAGCAGAACCAACAAATCCTAAAGGCGGGGCTGAAGGTGGCTCCTGGGGTAGAACTACTCTGTCCGAGGGAGTGGATGGAGGCCCCTCACCAACACTGTTAACTGAGGAAACCCTGAACACATATGCTGCTGAGGAACGCATGGAATCCAGTACTACTGATCTACTGGCAGAACTAATGTTTGATAAAGCTGTGACCCATGAAGAGCTATCCTCTGGTACAGCACCAGTCTCTGGTACATACCGATACTGAACAATAAACTTTATAATGGGACTGTTTCCATCAAACCCTGGGGTCCAGCTCACATTTACAGATTTATGTTTTGTATTCACTCGTTCAGCATTAATACTGGTGGGAGCATAGGGCAGCTCAATCACATCTAATCTTGAGCTTCGCTTGTCATTTCCACCGGGAGAATTTACTTCACATACATAGGATCCAGCATCTGAGGCTCTAGCTTCGGCAATCTCGAGGGTTCCATCACTGTCGAGGTTTATCCGATGGCTAGCTTTATCATTGATCAGATTACCCTCATGATACCAGGAAACCTATAGTTTAACAACATCAACACTAGGCTCCCCCTTCTGAGCAATAAATAAAATAGAAAAAACATTGCAACATTGCATGCTCTAACAAAGGCTGATTAAAAAACCATAAAGAGTGGAAAGGGAGAGCGGGGATTCAATGTAAATTGTATTAGAGCAAAAATATTCTCAATGTTTTCTTTTAATATGCGAATTTATCCATTTTTACTAAACTTCATGAAGAAGTTTTTGTTTTTAAAAATTAATCAAAGTTTTAACATTTTCTTGAAACTTTACAGAAATATTCCTAAACTGAAGTATAATCCTTTAGAGATACACAAATTAGAAAAATCCCACAAAAAGGCATAACTGAGGGGGCAGGGGTGAAAAATAGTTAAAAGAAAAATTTAAAGGCAAACATCTTAAGATTTCAATATTGCAACTTGAATTTCATCCTGAAGTTCAACCACCCCTCCCCCCCCCCCCGCAAAATAAAGCTCTAGAAATAAAAGAACTAATCATGTATTGAGTATCAATAAACCCTAGGCAATACATTTAATTGCCTCGTCATCAAACACAGGGGTCAATCTCAACTAATTGATCCAACGAAACTTAGTTAAACCAAATGTTGTTGTTGTTATTTTCCTGGTATTCAACGTTGTTGTCTGAACTAACTCTGCAGTACAGTTTAGCAATATGACCCAGTATAACCTAAACGTAAACAAACAAACTTAAGTTTTTGTTTAAGTAAGATAAAGAAAATTTAGTTTGATAATTTCTGCTTTTTAGCACTTAACTTTTATCTATTATGTTTGAAAGTAAAAGATTTCTCTGTCAATTACCCCCCAGAAGTTGGGCTTATTGTCACAAAAATCTTTCCAAATTGGAATCCTACTTGAAGAAAGGAAAATACCAATAGTTCTTCCAATTCTCAGAGTGTGTATGGAGAGGGGGGGAGGGGGGATATAGAGAGAGGGGGGGAGGGTTATAAACCAGTGGACCGTGGTATAAGTGAGAAAAGGCTTTAAAAGAAAAATGAAACAGAAAAATATTCATTTCTTTTAAACTAAATTTATTAGCTTTTGTTTGTTTTGGTGTTTGTTTGTTTGTTTTCCTTTGTGTCCGCAGGGGGTTGAACTATCTGTGTCCTGACTAGGACAGATAACCAGGCTGACCCAGTGATCTCGCCAGCTTCATTGCTCCGCGTACAGGTGTACTCTCCTAAACATCACATTATGTACATTGTACATACACTCAAGAGAAAAAGAGCTATAGAGATTAAACAAAATTTTTGTTTACATTCTGCTGCTGACGTTTTTGACAACTTAAAACTAATTTGATTGAAAACAATAACAAAGATTGTAAGCAAAGCTAGGAATTTTTCAATTAAAAAAATGTAAAGAGTAGAATTTTAAGGAGTACAAGAACTAAAGAGAGAGAAAATTATCTTTATATATTCTACTGTTCCCTTTTAAAATAGTTTAAGAGCTTTGTGAACAAAGTTAGTGATTTCTTGGTGGAACAGGAGAGCCGGGTCTGGTTATCAAATGTTTGTTTACGAAAAAACTGGTTCCAGAGGATTTCATCATACATCACAATATAGAATAATAACAAACCTATTGGCCTATCCTTAAAACAAAAAGCTCTATTCTTATAGCATAAAGGGTTTTTAAGTACTAGATAAGGGGGGGGGGGGGGCC